CCGACCCTGCCCACAGCAGAGCGACTCCGGGAGCAGGGTCACGCCCTGAGCATTAGCATTCTCCTCTCGCCCTTTGGGGGAAGGTCCTCCACCCTCCTCTCATTCATTCCCGGGGCTGCCCCACAGAAAGCGTCCCGGCTCGGCCTGTCAGGAAGCTGTGTTCCCCGCCCTAACTTGGCAAGCTGCAAGCCCCGTCTGGCTGCCTGGGTTTTACAGCAGAGCGACTCCGGGAGCAGGGTCACGCCCTGAGCATTAGCATTCTCCTCTCGCCCTTTGGGGGAAGGTCCTCCACCCTCCTCTCATTCATTCCCGGGGCTGCCCCACAGAAAGCGTCCCGGCTCGGCCTGTCAGGAAGCTGTGTTCCCCGCCCTAACTTGGCAAGCTGCAAGCCCCGTCTGGCTGCCTGGGTTTTGTAGAAAGCAGGCTGCTTGCTCAGGGGCTGCTGAGATTAGGATAAGGACAGCAAACCGATGCGAACACGATTTACGTGCAATCATGGGATTGTGCGCATTGTTGGCTATTCTGCGCTCACCGGGAGTATTGATTGCTAAATACCATGTTGGTTTCTGTTCAATATGTGGATCAAGTCATTTATTCAGTATTACTTCTCTATAAAGGGAACCCTTCCCCCCCCTCCCTCTTCTAATGAGCAAGCGCAGCAGAACTTCCTTAGTTTTGTCAAAGCCTCTTCCTGCTTTCAGGCTTTTATACCTTATAAGGCAGTTTTCAATGTCAAACCTGAACCAAATCCTTTTTAGAAACTATTTTGTATTTAGCAATTACCCGATGACGAGCGGAGAGAAAGTACCAGTGATAGCTAGTGCAAATACATGTATATAGAAAGGAATCCAAATCCCTTTCAGTTGTTGCCTGTGTTTGCTGTTTAAGTATACAAGACTGTCTAGGTAACAGTAGGAAGTAAAGACTGAATTTGAATTTAGAAGGGTTATATTGTATCCTGAATGGCAGTGTACTGAAGAAATGCAAGTTTCCCCCCCCTCTTGTGAGCTGCTAATTATTGTACGATTTTAAAGATGAAATGATTTTTAAATATTCCTGAAGGCTTGTAGAATATATCAAAAGATTTGTGTAGTGATTCTAGCTCCTCCCTCTTATCTCAGAAAAGTGAATGTGTTAAGTCACTGCTATCTCAGCTGCTCTTACTTGTTTCATTTCTTATTCATTTTTTTGCTCACTTTATATAGCTTTGTTCTAAACTCAAAGTGAAATTTTAATCTATTTGGCATATTAGAAATTCAGAGTAGATACATATTTAATTTTTTTTGGTGAGGGGGACTTGATTTTTCAGAATTATGAATATTGGTTTAGAATAATATTGTGAGCCCATAATTCATTTTAAATTTAAAAGTGCTGATTTGGGCTAATAGAGCATTAGAAAATATTCATTTTTATAAACTGTGTGTGTGTGTATACAGTGATGGTGTACTGGTGGTAGGTAATATGGGTAAATGTGCATTTAGAGTTACAGCAGGAACTAAGACCTTCAATTTATATGACATGTGAATGTATTCTTTCCTTTTGTAATATCACATTTTATGTATTAAATATGGTTCACTTAATCTAAAGTGAATTACTTACACTTGCAATTAATTCCCGTTGCTTAGAGAGGCCTTGGTAGAGGTTCCCTTTATATTTCTACAGCCTAAATTCAAATAGGAGGTAAGAGAAGAATGGGTTATGATGATGTTACTTTGAAAAGTTATGTACTGGTCTTGATGGTTCAGTATTTTTTTTTTTTAATCTGATACTTTGCTGTTTGTGGGGCCTACCAAAATGGACTTTAAAAGAGAGTCTGGTACTGACATTTTTTATTTATATCCACTAAATCAGTGTCTGTCAACTTCTCCAGACTACTGTACCACTTTCAAGAGAATGATTTGTCTTGTGTGCCCCAAGTTTCACCTAATTTAAAAAGTACATGTTTACAAAATCAGACATCAAAATACACAAGTATCACAGCATTTTCTCATTTTTACAATAGAACTATAAAATAATTTGGAATATAAATATTTTATTGACATTTCAATGCATAGTACTGTGACCATAATACGGTGACCATATTTTCTTAACCAAAAATGGGGACACATGATATAAGGGCCCTACCATCAATCCAACATGGGCCCCGCCCCTGGCTCTTTAGGCCCCGCCCATCTTCCAGGGTCAAGATGGACACATTAGTGGAAATAAAGAGTAATGTGACCCCTCTAAGAACTTCTCCTACTGTCTTCTACCAAATATGGATAGGGTTGTTCCCCATAAGACTGTCCTGAGAGCAGATTTGATCAAGCAGGGGGTGGGGTGATCTGTCTGGATATGGGTTGTGTGACCCCTCTAAAAAATCCTCCCACCAACATCTACCAATCAGGATGGGTTTGGGCCCCATAGGAGGTGCTTGTGTTCTGCATGTAGGGGCAGAGTATGTATGACAGTACTGCGCTTGTGTGCGCGCGCGCTTATGTGTATAGATGCTGGTGCTACTGTGTGTTGGGAGAGAGTGAGTGGAGATGGTGAAGTGTGGAGAGGAAGGGTGTGTGGAAAGCTGCGGGTAGTGACAGGGTGTGTGGAAGTGGCACTATGGGCAGGATACGTGTGGTAGTGTTGTGCACAGGGACATGATGTGTAAGTAGGTTCTGGTGGCACAACACGGTGTGGGGGGACAGTGTGGTGCTGTGTGCAGGCACAACATTTGTGTGATGGTGCTGTGGGTAGGAGGAAAGGGTGTGTGGGGACAGGAGCCATTGTGGGAAGCTGGTGCTGGCTCTTGGCTGTGGGGCTCTCTGTGCTCTACTAGCTGGGCTGGTGCCAGTGGCTTGGAGCAGAAGGCCCAGCTCCTCCACCTGGCTTGCTGGCGGCTTCCATCAGATGGTCACAGACAGGAGCTGAGCGATGTGGAGCCAGGTTGAGGGCTGAACTCCAGACACTCTGGAGCACTCTGGGCTGGGCGGGAGGGACATCCACCCATGTCACCTTGTGGCGGGATTTTCCCCTTATTCTTTTTGTTGCTGCTGATGCGCCACTGCCTGTTAATCATTCACCAGGTGGAAAGCGGGAATTAGTAATGCTTGGCTCAGCGACACCAGTGTCCTCCCCTCAGCATGGCTCCTCCAGGTTGCTGAGCCGAGTGGGCGGCCAGAGCCTGCTGCTCTGAGCCAGCGGTAAGGGAGAAAGGGCTGGGTAGAGGATGCTCCCATTGGCCGGATTCCCCACACTGCCCTTTGCCTTCCCCCAGCTGTGACAACCTTGCAGGGATGTACTTCCTGGAGGCTTTCACCTTTGTTCTATTGGCCAGATTCTGTCCTAGCCTTTTCTGGCTCATTTCTTCCCCACAAGCTGCATCAAGCAGGGAGCCTTGGGATTTTCTCTGCCTCCCTCCCCCCCACCCGCCAAAATATTGGAATTTCTAGGACATTTCACTGCTTTATGGGGACACGGAGACAGATTTAAAATTGGGACTGCCCTGAAAAATGTGGGATGTATGGTTGGTATAAGTATGTAGAGCAGTTTAAACAAGTCATTGTCTATATTACATTTTAGTCTGTATTGACTTAGCTAAGCGCTTTTTTTTCCCCTGTTGTAAAATGAGGTAACAATCTAGATGAGTTGATTGTATCTCCTGGGAGACCTCTGTCTACCGCCAAGGGTGCACACACCCCTAATGGAGGACTACTGCACTAAACTACCATCTTTATTATTTAGAATAATCTGGCTAATTACTGTAGTGTAACTATAAAGAAAGCTTTCTTTATATCTTGAGTTTTATGCTTTGATATTAAAAATTCTCCATTTGGGGTATATTTTCCATATTTAGAAGTGATTTTTTGTGTGTGTGTGTGTGTGTGTGTGTGTGGGGAAAGGGGGGGGGGGAAGCAAAATCTCATGAGCCACTCATTAATGGAGAAGGGAAAATACCACTTAAGGATTGTAAGGACTTTTTTCTTCCTAGTAATTCTGATGGGGGAGGAGGAAGAAGGCTGCTGTCTGTTTCACATATCAATAAACTCTGTTACATTTGGAGAATTTTAAAATTAGAAAATTAAAAATTATATTAAAGTATAAAATAAATTAATTAAAAAGTATATGATTGAAAATAAGGCTTGGAAGTGCATACTTATCGTTTAGAAGACAATCCTAGCTTACTCGGTGACATTAACATTTACAGCTGGAGCAGCTGTTGACACCATTTACAAAAACTTCCCATTGAAATATACATCACAGTTCATAAAAAATAATGTAATTTTACATTTCTTTCTGTTGATGGTGCATTTTTCTGGTCTGCTACTGTCATTTAGCCCTCCTGAAGAAATGTAATTGGAGTATTAAATTATGTCTTAAAAAAAAAAAGCTAAATCATTTTTATATTGGTCAGTGTTACCTTTGGTCTGTAGCACAAGTGATGCTGATAATATTAGAAAGCGTACACAAAGATCGAGAGAATATGGTCCTGATAGTAACAACTTAGCACCAGTAGCTTCATCTAAATGTTTTAACATTTCTCAGAGGGGAAAACTGTGCAGGATACTTTTCAGCTTCTGTTTTGCTGCCATTTGCCCATGCTACTACCTGAGTTGCCCACATCACACAGTTAATGTGGTAAATGTGCAGGTGAGATGCACGTGGGCACCAGAA